ATGGGGCTAAGTGTGAATTTTAAGTGTACCAAGGAGCTATTGAAGTTGTTCCAGAGGACTGGTATACATAGCCCCACTGCCAAGTTTTCTCATCTTTCACTTTTCCAAACATTTCAGTTGTTCCTAGAAATGTCTTGTTACTGGAAGCTGGCCATTGCGTGAACTATCAACTTTCTGTTTTGTTAACATGTGTAAAGTGGTGTGGGCAGCCGCCTTAGGGGATAGAGGAAGGGGAAGAGAGCTCTGGTTCTCTGCAAGAGTAATGCTGCTGTTTTGTTCATTTTACATGATGAGCTTCTTCAGATTTCTTTTGGGGAGACAGTGTTCCACTTGCCCCCTTCAACGCCCCTGCCACCTCAATGCAAACTGAAACTGCAGGACCAGAGGTTCTTTGGGGGTGCTTCCTGCTGGCAAACTTCTGTGTGTGCTTCGTAATGTCATTTATCAATGAAGGTGAGAAACAGAAGGATGTGATTTCTTAAGAGATGGAAAAGCATTTGCCTGGAAGGTCCCAGGATTTGAGCTATGTGGCTGTTTTCATGATGAGGTGGCTACACACTCTGCAACACCTTTTGTGGAAGGTGTTTGTTTGGCATTGAAGCTGAGATCATTGTGACTGATAAAAACATCCATTTTGGAGCATTTTGGAGCACAAAGGCCTGTGTAAGGGATACAAACAAGCTTCCATTGTGGGAGCCCAGGCAAAGGCTGACCTCCCTCTTGTCTGATCCTTATCTTAAAGGATCCACACTAGGCCATCCACTCTGCCTAGGAACCCATCAAGCCATGCCCTGCTGGAAAGGCTCCTTGCTGTGACCTGTGAAGACCACCCAGCCTTGGTTCTCTCTCCACTCAGCTCCCTCCTTCCCACTCCACTCTGACTGTTTCAGCCATAGGAGCTGTTTGTTATTCAAACATGCTGTCTGTGTGCCCATCACAGAATCTTCACTGTCTCTGGAATGCTGTCTAATCCATCTCTTCTCCCTTACTCTCTTTGCTTAGCAAATTCCTGTTCTTTCAGATCGCAATTTAAGCATCGTTCCTTTTAGGAACACTTCCCTGACCCCAATGCCTCCCTGCTCATGTAGGTTCCTTTATTAAATGTCCTCAAAGAACTGAGTTCTCTTCCTTTCCAGCATCTTAACTCAATCTATATTACACATTCCCATACATGACTAGTTCATAAATGTCTACTCCCCCACCACTGAAATTTAACCTCCATGAAAGTAGAGACAATGTCTATCTTTGACCACATCTTATTCCCAATAGTAAGCACGGTACCTAATATATAATAAATGCTCAATAACTATGTAGAATTAAAGTTGAAAAGTCCCAGCATGTAAGGAAATTTAGCCTTAGAATACAATCTCTCTTATTTGGGGCCTATGTGTTTCTCCTTATTGTAATAACAAAGGGAGTATTATCTCTTCAATTTTACTGATTACTCTATGAACTATATGAAGTGGTTTTAAGAATTGTCCATGTAGTGGGATTTTCAGGTGTTTTTAACTTTCTTTCCCACTCTTTCCCTTTTTTTTTCCTACTTGTATGCATTTACTAAGTTTTCTACATTGAACCCATATCACTTTAAAAAATTAACTTGAAAAAAAAAAACCCTGAAAGCAACTACTTTTTCCCAACTTGAAAGTAAAGAGCTTTTGGAGTCTTGTTGCTGGAATCAGAGGGGAAAGGAAATGAAATCCTAGCATGCCACTTGATCCAGCAAAGAAAAATATTTGCATAGGGGCCAGGCATGGTGGCTCATGTCTGTCATCCCAGCACTTTGGGAGGCCAAGGTGGGTGGATCACCTGAGGTCAGGAGTTTGAGACCAGCCCAGCCAACATGGTGAAATCCCGTCTGTACTAAAAATATAAAAATTAGCTGGGCATGGTGGCACATACCTGTAGTCCTAGCTACTTGGGAGGCTGAGGCAGGAGAATTGCTTGAACCTAGGAGGTGGAGGTTGCAGTGAGCCGAGACTGAGCCACTGTACTCCAGCCTGGGTGACAAAGTGAGACTCCGTCTCAAAAAAACAAAAAAGAAAAAATATTTGCATAGGTTTAATGAAAATAGTTTTTGTTTTAGGCTACAATTAAGGACATGACAGATGCAGAACAAAATATAAGTATTATAAAAAATACAGTGGTGATGAAGTAAAAGTGAAGCTGACAAGAGGCAGGAAGTGGGAGTACCAGGGGTGGTAATTTCCTCAGTCTTTTGTCTTTTCATGGAAAGGAGTCAAGATACTAAATCATGTTAGCAAAAGCAGCAATAGAGGTATAAGTATATTATCTATGATTACAAGGGAAAACAACAGAAGCAGTAATATAATCAAATGTTGAGAGGGAGAGAGATAAATGAGATAAAATCCCATCTTTCCAAGTAGGGAGTCAGTATTGTCTAAAGTTGCGAATTAAGAAATAGGCTACCCTCATGAGTGTTACGGAGGTGACTGGAAGAACTGGAAACAGAAGTGATGAGGACAGGCTGCCCAGGGAATTGGGAATACAGGTGGGCAGAAGTGCAGTAGAGACAAGTAGGATGTTTTTCTTTAAAAGCTCATCTGTAGTATTTGATTTGTTATAATGTGCAATTAAGACCTTAATGGAATTAAGTTATAGTGTGCAATTAACAACTTGAACAAAATGAAGAGGCTGGATTAAATGGTCTCCAAGTCTTTAGAACCAAGAGTCTGTAAAATACAACCACTTTTCTCTTTAGAGAAGGAGAAGCAATGAACATTACTGAGCACTAAGTAATGAGCTAGCTGCTTTATGTCAGTCGCCTGCTGTATGCTTCTGGACAGCCCTGTGAGATAGGGCTCACTGTCCCCATCCTGTGGAGTAAGGTGAACTTTCCTAACTAGGTCTCCACGCAGATGCTTAAATAAGCAGTAAGGCTGACATTTAGATCCAGGGCCACTCCACTTTGACACACATTATTTCTCCATGGCAGCCAATGCAGCCAAAGTCTTAGGAAGCTTGACTTTCCCCCTTCATTATATATACATGTCATTAAATTGCAAAGTTACCAAAAATAGAAATAGAAAATCACTTAAAATCTTAACACCTAAGAAACTTGAGCCTCACTCATATCTGACAGGCTCATATCATTTGTTGACTTATTGGGTTTTTGGTTATAGCAACTAACATTCTTTAAACTTAAACTGTGGTATATACGCAGTTTGAAGAAGAACAAGAGTCTGAGCTACGTTCTTCTGTGCAAAGAAATAGGAAATTACTGATACCTTTATTCCCAACTTCCAGAGGTAGCCTCGACCCTGAATTGGTTTAAATAATTTCTTTGCAGACGGACTACTTTTTATAAATCTGCTGATGTTTCCAAGTCTATAATTAGACCACTCACGTCAATTTGTACCCACAAATTCCTTCTTCCCTGACCCTCTTATCCCTACCCAAAATTTTCTACCCAGTTTTATCCATCCCATAAATCCCCATTTAAGTTTCACCTTGTAGGAGTGTTCCAAGCCCCTCCAGCCCACAGTGCCTTTGCTTTTTAAAAACTTACCAGAGCTCTTATTCATTCAGGGCTTCCACTAAGTCACCTGCAGACTGGGCTGTCTAATCTAGCCCAGGCTCCTGAAATCTGAGCTTCTGATGGAGGACCAGGACATTGACCCACATCTCATGCAAACATTGATTGAGAGAGAATCTTCTTGAGGGACCACCCGTGTGTAGGACCTGCACGTTCTCTATATTTTTCTTGTTGGCCTGATATGCGAGGCCAGCAAGAATGTAGAGAACGTGTGTATAATAGGATCTAGATACCCAACAAGGTGGTACCAAATTCTGAAGACTTTCATTCTGACTTGAATAGAGCCTGAGCCAGAGATTAAGTAATTCTTCCATTTCTATAGCAAACAATAAGCACAAGGCTTTCTGCAAGGTGCTGGAGTAGGTGAGGGAGACCAGATGCACAACGCTTACCAAGATGATGACAAAAGCAAGTAAATGGGCAATTCTAATAAGTGCTACAATTGGGGTGTGCCTGGGGTCTATGGGGACGCAAAGAGGAGCAAGCAATTCAGACCTTTGGGGAGGATGATAGGGAAGGATTTCTGAAGAAGGACGTTAACTTGGAACCAGGGGTGAGTGATGGACAGCTAAGGGGGAATAGTACCTGCAAAGGCCTCAAAGCAAGAGGCAGGGCTGAGAGCCAAGGTAGACTTAAGCTTTCAGTGCTGGAGGAAAGTGATATGAGACAGGAAGGAGGGGTGGGAAGGAGCGGGTTGGGAAGACTCTTCTAAGTCTCACTTAGATTTCTGGATATTATCCTGATGGTTTTCATCAGGGAAATGGCAGAGTTGCAGCTTCACCTTCTGGTTGCAAGGGAGAGAAAGGATTGGGGAGAGCAAAGTGGGTGTTGGAAGAGTCCAAGCTGGAGAAAGCAGGGCCAGGAGTAAGTGGCAAAGGAGACGGAAGGAAGTGAGCAGAGGCCACAGACCTGATGACTGGACATCAGGACAGCAGGAAAAGAACCCCTGCACAGGGCACCTGTATGATGATGGTGCCGTTCGTGGAGTCAGAGGACACAGTGAGGCTGCAGGCAGGAGGAAGCCAAGGTCAGATTCAGGCAAGGTAAATTTCTGATGTGTGTGGACATGGAAAAGAAGATGTCTAAAAGGCAACTGGATGTGAGGCCTGGGCCCTGAAGAGTCTGTGGGGTAGAGCTGAACTTGGAAGTCAGCATGGGATGGAGGCTGACCCCAGGGGAAAGGAACTGCGCCAGGTTTGCATGAGTGGGTGCTTCTCAGGGTGACCAAGACCCTTCCGGAGACTTGAGTTCCTCTGACTATATGAGACCCAAGAGAAAAAAAGCACCAAGTGCTCCTTGAGTTCAAGGGAAGACATAAATTCTGAACATTTCCATGTCTACTAGCATACAGCCTACACAGGGATAAAAAGACACCTTTCAAGTCAGGAATAGGGAAGATACCACTTCTCTGCATGTGCTGCTACCTCTTTATTCCTTTCTTTAGGTCACCAAATATCTACTGAGTGCTTGCTCTGTGATCTGGCAGACAACCCAGAGGCACAGAGATGAAGATGGCACGCTCCATGGAGCCAGGGAGGGGCCTGGATGCTGCGGGAAACCCTATAACAGGTAGAGCTCTCTATAAAAATGAGATTTCAGTGAAGTTTACCAGCTCGTGGAGAAGAGATCCAAGGATCCAAGGACACCTATGACTGAGAAATAAAACAGAATCAACTGGGTTCAATAGGAGAAGCTGCTGACAAAGGGCTTTGGAGACTGAGAAAAGAGAGAAACACCATCAAGTTCCTCGCAGAGAAAGGCATTTGATAAAATGTGTGTTGATGAAAAGGACCAGCGGTTTGGGGAGGATGAGGAAATGATGGCTGTGAGACGGGCCTGAGAGGAGGGGCAGGGTTTTGAACTGTGAGGAAAGGTGCCATCCCATTCAGAAGGAGGAAGAAATCAGGGATAAAATGAGGTGGCTGATATGAAAGGAGTGGGGCATCCTTGGCTTGGGCTTGTGAGGAGTGTGGGCCACAGTGCTATGGGCGGTCAGTGAGCCAGGCTTTCAGTTCTTACGGGGCTTAGAGAAAAGGCTGATTCAAGTCTCCTTGCTCATGGCACGAGGAGGAAGGGGGGCTCTTGGTAACTGAGGACCTGCTTCTTAAGCATTGGAGACTTTGCATTCATTACCTCATTTAACACTAAGAACTCTGTGAGGTAGCTCCTTAGTCCCAGCACTTTTCAGGTGAGGAAACTAAGGCTTAGAGAAGGAGTGTCCCATCTTTTGGCTTCCCTGGGCCATACTGGAAGAAGAACTGTCTTGGGCCACACATAAAAATAAAATACACTAATGACAGCTGATGAGCTTAAAAAAAAAAAAAAATCTCATAACGTTTTCAGAAAATTTATGAGTTTGGGTCAGGCTGCATTCAAAGTCGTCTTGGGCCGTGGGTTGGACAAGCTAGGCTTAGAGAATATAACAGAGTCTCATAGCTATCCAGTATAGAGGCAAGACTTCTGAATTCAAAGATATATGGTTTCCAGTGGAGACCATGGAAATCAACCGGAAATCAGGCTGAGAGAGCCTCATGCAACTCACCCTGCCCTTCCCCTTGGTCTCATTCCATGTAAGAGTCTCCAGACTTAATGACACCAGCTCTTTGATAGGCACGGTGTCTTCCTTTGGACATAGGCAGAGCATAAGTAAACAGAATAATACTTCTTATTAAATGAAGAAATGGGTGATAAACCAGAGCTATGGCCTCTCAGGATTGTCTTGCTGCCAAAGGCCTGCTCTCATCTCCAAGTAGCCATCCGGCCTACCAGGCAATCACCTTCTTTAATATCAACCTCACTGTGTTCTACTTGCTGAGTCTTATAGTCAGGGCCTATAGATGGGACAAAGGCATGAGGATTCCTGGGTGCCTTTAACAAGTCTCAAGTTGGGAATGCTGATTTTAAAACTCCAAGTGGTCACTTAGAATGTTCTGGGTAGTAAATGTCCCCAGCATGAGTTTCCGTTACTCATCATTAGGCAGCAGACTCTGTCCCCTAGAATGAGTCTCCTTCAGAACCATAATGGTGCTGGGAGGGAGAGGCTGGGCTTGCAATGCAGTCGATGCATCAGCAAAGACCCCAGGAACTAACTATGTTTTTTACAAGTGACTGGAATGTGCAATCAGCAAATTCAGACTGGAAATAAAAATGAATTCGCAATTTAATTGGAACAGAGACCCACAGTCCTCCTTTCCCCATGCTGCCTTGAAAAAGGAACAGCTGACTGGTGAGCCCTATCCAGTTAGTGTCCTGGGCTTTGCTGCATTGCCTTGCTGTACAGGACTGTGCATCTGACCAGGTGGAAGTGGGCATTTCGGGAGGAAAGCCGCTGCCCAGATACCAAAGCAGGACAAATGCCAGCACCTGGAATGCTGGAACAACGGGCAGTTTCCAGGGGTCTTAGATCAATGATACCATCTTGTCAGGGTTTGTGCTTATTTTGGGGGGATGGGGGAAGTTTATTACCCAAGGCTGCTGGGTATCGTTTATGTAGCGAGTATAGTATCCAAGGGCATCACATCCTAGGGAATGCCAAGCACACTGCAGACATCAGAGATTGTTTATAATCACTTTCTAGCAGATGTTATTCTTTAAAAATATATTTAAAAAGAAAGAGGTGAAATGTCTTGAGGAAGGATACCTTTTTATGATTTCCTGAAGGCAACATGTGTCCCAGTAATGGCCCTGGGGTCACCTCATACATCAACCACTATTGAGAGGCAGCAGTGGCTTTTGGAGAGGATTCTGACACCAATTCAGTGCAGCAGGATCGATCGACAGCCATGGCAAACTCGAAGGGGGCAGTGGCATTCAAACTACAAACCTGCTGTTCTTGATTTCCAGTGACTATCATCATTAATAATCTAGTTACCTTACATGTGGGATTTGACTTGAAATTTGTCATTTTCTTCTGGGAGTGCACCAAATACTTAATTTAGCCCCTAGGCAAAGACTGTCCTCTGGAAAATTACTAACTTTAGATATATTTTAATGATTGCCACTCTAGCCTCTTTTTATTGGCTATCTTTATGTTCACTTTCAAAAAATTAGAAAATGCAGATAAATTTTTTAAAGGAGGAAAAAACGTATAACTCCACCACCCAGGAGTCGTCACTGCTAATCGCCTTTTCCAGAGTTTGAACTGCCAAGTTCTTCTCTGCACATACCTTTTCAGCATATATTTTTAAATAAGAACAGAATATACCTACTCTTCTGTACTCTATTTTTATCATTTAGTATATACTATTAGCATTTTCCCATGTGCAGTACAAAGCTTCTATCTGGATTTTTTTGGGCCTATTTTTAGTTATCCTACATCCTTTTTAAAATGAGCATCCTACTCCTCAAAATTACTTGATAAATGAATATTCACTAAAGTATCAGCTCTCAGAAGCCCCATTTTAGTGGGGCCTTCTAAAGATCAGGGTGGGCCTGGTGGCTCAAGCCTGTAATCTCAGCACTTTGGGATGCCGAGGCAGGTGGATCATAAGGTCAGGTGTTCGAGACCAGCCTGGCCAACGTGGTGAAGCCCTGTCTTTACTAAATAAATACAAAAATTAGCTGGGTGTGATGGCGCTCACCTGTAATCCCAGCTACTCAAGAGGCTGAGGCAGGAGAATCACTTGAACCCGGGAGGCGGAGGCTGCAGTGAGCCAAGATTGTGCCACTGCACCCAGCCCAGGCGACAGAGTGAGACTCCATCTCAAAGAAAAAAAGAAAGATCGATCAGATAACATTCCAAACCCCTGGAGCGAGTCTCTAATAGCATTTCAGACACTGTGATAGAAAGTGGAGGTGCTCTTTCTTGGGGGCTGAGGGGGTGTTCTTGGTGCTCTTGAATTACAAGGCCAAGGTGGTAAAAGTCAACAAGCCTTAAGGTAGAAGCCAAGGACAATGGGATTCAGTCTTGCCCTGATGCAGACCTGCAGTGAACCTCAGTTTCTTTCTCTGTAACTTGACCCCCAAAGTATGCCATGTGGTTGGGTTGTGCAGCCAGGCAGACTGGTAATAATAGATAAGCTGGTGGAATAGGCATGGCTGAAATCTTCTGAGCCTTGCTGGTCAAAGTTGGGAGTTTGAATTTTAAGAATAACAAGAATCCACCTGTCAGTTTTAAGCTGGAGAGTAACAATCTGATTTATCATTGTATGAAGACCCCTTTGCTGTTAATGCTAAGGCATGCCCCTCTCTCGGCTCGAGCATGGAAAGGCGGTGACCCTCAGTAGAGCTGGGCTTGAGACATTTCTCTTAAACAGCGCATAGGGAGAAGGCATTCTTGTGTGTTAGTATTCCTGAAGCAGATGGCAAGCCTTCCCCCCACGGCCAATGGGAGGAGGGTGGCTGCCAGAGGTGGTCTCTTAGGGCCACTCACTGGCCTCTCATTTGGACTGGCCAGCTTCCCTGGGTTCATTTGCCTTTCTTGGATCTTAAACTGGTATTTCCTGATGGTGAATCAAATAGGTGGTCAGCCTGTGAGTCAAGGCTGACTTCAGTGCTAGCAAATGCCTCTATAAATTTTTTAAATGAGGCCAGATGTAGCTCCGGGATATATGTTACCAAGAATAAATCTTACCAACTAGCGGAGTAGCTGGAAAAGACAAAAACCCTCATGACTTTCTTCTTCATACATCATGACCTTGTCTGCTTTAACCCCTTTCCTTCTTAACTTTTTGATCCCTGATGAGGTTTTATGTCTCCCACTTCAACTTCACATTAGGAAAAATTCTAAACATATAAAATATTTGAAGGAATAATATCCTTATACCCTTGACGTACAGTCACAATGAACATTTTGTCATCTTTGCTTTATTTTAGAGTCATTTGAGAGTAAATGGAAGACATTGAGTCACTTCAGCCTTAAACACCTAAGCATGCAACTCCCCAAAACAAGGACACCCTCCTGTGTAACCTCAGAATCGTGATCCCCTAAATTTAAAATTTTCCTAATATCATATACAATGTAGTCAAGACTAAAATATCCTCAATTGTTCTTAAAATATTTCTTTTACAGCTTTTTTTTGGAACCAGGATCTAACCACGATGAGTTTTCCAAAGTGTGAATAATATGCAATTGCTATACAAAAACAACAAACTTCAATGATCCCTCCTTGGAGAACTGCCAGGAGCTTGTGCTTCTGCAGAAGTTTCTCTCTGGGAGGAGTTAGTAAGTGAAAGTTAGGATTCAGTAACTTTGCATGTACCAAGTGCCATGCGAATGCTTGTTATTCCCACTATATGATAACTACAAGAGAAATAATCAGTAGGTGATTAAGAACCACGGTCTATCGACTGTAAAATTGCTGTGCTGACAGTAAAAGCAAAAAAGGTTTTTAGAGTCAGGATGCAAAAAAATATTTTACTGTAAGGAAGTCACATCAGAATTCAAGGGATTCATGTTTTATTTTTGCATTGCTTTCTGTCTTAATTTTCTTTTTGTATTATACTTAATTTACAACTCATGAACATCAGTTTTAAAACTGAGGGATTCCATCAAATATCAAAAACCTTAAGTGTTCCCAACTCACTTAGTCTATGAGGCTAACTGGAGACTTGATTTCTCTTGGCTACAGGCTACCATAAAGATTCCGTGTACATATTTAAAAAAGATTCAATACGATCCTAAGAATGTCAGATTTATGCAGAATGGCATTAGACTCTACCTTTAGGGTTCTGTTCACAGTTGAGTGAAAAACTACCATTTTTAGCTGATTTCCTAAAAACAATAATCAAACCAGTATTTTCTTAACCTTTAACTCTGATTTTTGAGGCAACAAAAAGACAAATAACACTAATGCATTATGTTTTTGTGTGGAGAAAGGAGCTGGAAATGGGAGGTTCAGGCAACCCCACAGGGATCACTGCTTGGATTTTCTAGCAGGAGGGGGATGGGGAGCTGGGCCTAACCAGAGAGCTTAGTGTTCTAAACATTCCCTTATATGGAGGCACATAATGTGTTTCCCGCTTACTGATGTTAAGCCTCAAGGATACACAGCCTGTGAGGCAGGCAAGAAATTAGGCTTCTCATTTCCACCATGACCCTCTCCCTTGCACAGAATGTACAAGTCGCAGCTTCCAGCCCTCATTTGGGACTCCAGGTGCAGTGGAAGCCTCAACCGAGAGACGGTGCCTCTGCTCCTATTCCACTGGTTCCTCACTTTCAGCAGCTCTTCGTAGCCCTCGCTAAATCTATCAGTAATTTAATCTTACCTGATTGTATGTGATCTTCTCCTGTCAATCTATGCCTTGCTTGAATAGTGCTGTATATTACTATGTTTCATCTCCAACCCCTTCCCCTGTCCCCTGAACTGTCAAGGGGATAATAGACTTATTATTCTGGATCAGAATAATATCTGGTCAACTGGGAAAGATCTATAGCCAAGAAACTGTGGTCTAGAAAGTGGGCTTTCCCTTCCCTCAAGTGTATGCCAATGTCTTCCAAGGTTAGCATTTCCTAAAGTGGAAATTGGGCACACAAGGAAATGTGATTTAATCATAATGAGCCACACAGTGAGCAAGTTCTTTCCTTTTTTAGTTTCCTGTCAATCTTTCTGACAACCTTAATGAGACAGTTTCCATTTGAAACCAGCACAGGTTAGCACCTAATATTTACTAATCTTGTTTTTATCAAAGAGGGAGTAGCGCTTGTGTTCAGAGATCTGGGCAGGCAGCAGCTGGAATTATATGACTTTGCTGTATTTTGGTTGAATGTATTATTCTGGTTGCTTTCTAATGATGGCAAGAGATGATTTTTTCTTTTAAATGCAAGTGATGGTTTCCTTTTAAAATTAAGTTTCATTAAAAGGATTATGTAAATAACAGAACCAGTGATCTGCAGATGTGGCAAGAACTATGACAACTAAGCATCCATGTCAAAAGTCTGGCAGCTCTAGTCCAAGAAGATGCTTCTAGATCAGAGATCCTCTACTCTGGCTGCACATCAGAGTCAAGTGTGGAGCTCTGAAAGTATCTGGGTCTGGCCAGGCGTGGTGGCTTGAACCCCACCACTGGAGGGCTTGGAGGGCTAACCCTCTATGCTGAAAACCAGCGGGTGGGTAGTGAACAGTGCCATCAGGGATGGGATATGCCCTGGAGTCTCACACTCTGCCTGGCCCATGGGGGCTCTTGGTCTTGTCTGTGGAACCAGTGACTCTTACCTCTCAGACCATTTTTTCCCAAGTCCTGATACGTTCACACTAACAGGTTTGTTTTTCAGATAAAGCCATGTCTGAAAAGATGTAAATATACTTACAAATCATAAAGTCACACAAAGGAAGGGTATTATTGGGAGTCAAAGTGCCTCCATTCCACAAAGCGTGGATCATTTTCAACCAAAAACATAATCAGTGTCTGGGCTAAGAAACACTGATACAGAAAGGCCAGAGGCATTACTTGTGGGTGCCTGGGCAAAGGGACAGGATACGCTTCTTGGGCAGCTGGAGGAGCCTTTTCTCAGAGTGACGGGCAAAATCATCCTGGATCAAGCACAGGTGGGCGTACGGAGTGACGGTCTGAGGGGGTGGTTGAGATGGGGCTTTTACTTTTTTACTTTCCATGCATTTGAATTGTATACATTTGCTACATATGAGTCTTTCCTTTTAAGGAAAAAAGTAATATTTAATGCAATAAATCTAAACAATAAAGTCTAAAAAGTGAGAGATACTTCTCCCACACCCCTGTCACCCACCACACCTCATAGAGGTAGTCACTCTTCTCACCTTGGTGGGTACTGCTTTTATAACTACTAATTTTATAAGGGAAAATCTGCTAGAACACAAAAACATTTGGAAGAATATCCTTTAGAATGTGAACAGAGGTCGGCCGGGTGTGGTGGCTCACCCCTGTACTCCCAGCACTTCGGGAGGCTGAGGTGGGCAGATCACTTGAGGTCAGGAGTTCAAGACCAGCCTGGCCAACACCTCATCTCTTCTACTAAAAATGCAAAAATTAGCTGGGCGTGGTGGCGGTGCCTGTAACCCCAGTTACTCAGGAGGCTGAGGCAGGAGGCTGAGGCAGGAGAATTGCTTGAACCCTGGGAGGCAGAGGTTGCAGTGAGCTGAGATCATGCTACTGCACTCCAGCCTGGGCAACAGAGTGAGACTCCATCTCAAAAAAAAAAAAAAAGTGAACAGAGGTCATCTTAGTGTGACAAAGTGGTTTTTGTTTTCTTTCTGCTTCTCTGAGTTTTCAATCAATGAATTTATTTCAACTGTGTAATAAAAACAATTAGAGGAAAGACATTAAAAGGTAGAAGTGGGAGACAGAAGGTCAGATGTGGGCATGAAACTACTGAAAAGAACAAAAACAATCGGCAAAGCTCAGCTGGGCATCTCTCTGTACTGTAATACACCTTAAGGTTAGCACCTTAAGGATCTTTGGACTCCAAGGGGCATCTGGTTTTCATCTAGACTCCTGCACTAGTTGTAAGGCTGGGAAAATCAGCTCCCTCTTGGGGCCTCGGTTTTCCTATCTAGAAAATGTGAGGTTGCACTAGATGAGTGGTTTTCAACAGGGGGAGGTTTTGCCCTCCTAAGGACTATCAGGCAATATCTGGAGACATTGTTGGTTGCCACAATGAAGGGTACGACTGGAATATAGTGCAAAAATGCTGTTTGACATCCTATAAAGCCTAGGGAAACCCCCTAAAAGATTATCTGGCTCCAAATGTCAGTGGTGCTGAGGTTGAGAAACTGACCCTGGATGGTCTCTGGGGGCTTTTCCAGATCTGATAGGCATTTGGATCTGTGAGTTTGGGTCTAGACTCGCCTCATCTCTGATGAGGGCAGTAATGCTCTCAAAGAACTGACTGGAGTGTTTCTGTGGTCCACTCTAACAAAATAAGGAGAGAAGAAGTAACAGAGATGAAGGCAGAGGCAAGAGGCCTTGCAGTAAAAGGCAGACTAAAAGGCTCTGTCCCTCCCAGGGACTCGGGCCCGCCCTCCCTCACACTTACAAACAGGTCCCTCTCCTGGTGTATGCTGGCATAACAAACAATGGCCCGAAGTCTAGAAAACCACACAAAATTTGAACAAAAACTTAGTGACTGCGACTTCCCTAATGACCACTTTCTGATTTCCCAGGGAAGAATTTCCTTTAAAAACCTGATACAAATCAGTATTTTTTATGTTTCAGATTAGATCCAACAAATATTAAGAGGCTGTGATGACCAGACCATTTATGGACACGAGATAAAAGACATAGCACTACCACTACAGACTGCAGGAGGAAGGTCTTTTCAAGAAGTAGCGCCAGAACAATCTGGAAATAAAAGATTTATACCTCCCATTAAACACAAGCATCAATTCTAGGTGAATAATATGGACTTAAAGGTCTGTTTAGCCTTGAAGGACTAACCTCTAAAATTTTCAGAGGATAGCCTATCTTGATGCGTGAGAGTAGGAAAGGTTTTCTAAACAAGTCACAAGAGTATCAACTGTAAGGGAAAAAAATAACTACCTTAAGCCTGAAGAACTTCTGTTCACCAAGACACAAGCCAGAGTAATATATCTGCAATACATGTATCCATAATATATAATGGCCACAAATCCATAAGAAAGATGACTTAAAAAGGCAAGAATGTTGACCAGCACTTCACAAAAGATGGTGTCCAAATGGTTAGTAGCATGTGGAAGGAGAATCAGCATCATTAGGGAAATCAAAATCATAATGAAAGATGACACCCCCCACCAGAATGGCTATGATAAAGAGGGACAAATTGTTTATGAGGCTGCAGAGAAGTTATAACTCTCATATACTGCTGCATGGGAGTATAAATTGGTACAATTTGCAAAACTGCTTTGAAGCTAACCTAATAGGTATTTCCCTAATAAAAACAGGAGCATACATACAGCAAAACACTTGTACAAGAATATTCATGACATCATTATTCATAATAGTACCAAACTATAAACAACCCAAATGTCCACCCACAGTAAAATGGATGATTCAGTTAGTCTGTTCATGCAATGAGAATACTAGAGTAATTGATTCAGTAATAAAAAATGGATGATCTACAACATGGATGAATCTCAAATGTAATCTTGAACGACAGAGGTCAGAAAGGAAAGGGAAAACATACTAGATAACTCTATATGAAATTCAAGGACAAGCAACATTATCTCCGGAAATAGAACTCAGAACCATGATTCTTTGCGGAACCCTGAAGAGGGCATGAAAGAACCATCTATGATACTGTAAATGTTCTGCGTCTAGACCTGGGCTACATGGACATGTGCCTTCATCAACCTGTACACTTAAGATTTATGCATTTGACTGTAATATCTTAATTGAAACCACCAGAATACCCTATAAAAACCCAAAACCAGAAAAATAATGTCACAGGTACCTGGGTTTCTGTACTAATATTGCACCCTGAATCTTGAGAAATATTTATAAGCACCTAACTTAATGAGGAAAATACCTTTGTCCAAGTCATCAACTATTCAATTTATATCCCTCTACCTATCAATGATATATTAATCTGTTTTTTTTTTTTTAAAAAGGCAAACGACAGAATGAGAAGGTATTATGGAACCTATAATCAGAAAGACCTCTGAAAATCTATTAGAAAAAGACAAAATATGGAAAAGTAAAGGGGGCAAGAGATTTCTTACTTGTTCCTTTGCACTTTCTGGTATTTCCCAGTTTTTCTAAAACTAGCATATACTAACTATTTTAAAATGATAGGTCAATAATAATACATGAATATGCTTTCCTTGTAAGACATTAAGACATTCTAGATAAGGCTAAAAAGTCCCTGTTGACCTCTAATCCTGGATTCCTCCCTAATACCTAGAGAAAATGATTGTTAACTACTCGGTATGCTTTTTTGCTAGATCTTTTTCAATGCAGTGTTATTTGTGGGGTTTATTTTTTGTTTACATCTATGGCATCATATGTGTCTTAAAACTTTTTTTAAGCTCAATATTGTATCTTTCACTATTTTTTATCTTGGTATGTGCAAAGCTACTTTATCAGCTTATTCTTTTTACCTGCTTCACAGTTTTCCATGAGAATGGATATTCCACAGTTTGTACAGCCTTTCTTCTACGATGGCCATTAGGCATCTTTCTTTTCTTTTTTTTTTTTTTTGGCAATTAGTAGTCCTCTTTCATTGAGAACAATTGGTATGTCATTTAAATATTTAATTCTAGCTTCCTAAACTAAAAAAAACCTCCAGAAAGTTCACGCTTCATTCTAGTCTCAGAAAGCACTATCTAGGCTTGGCGATCTCCCCGGCTGTCTAAGTAGAAAGGGGAGTGTGGACTTCAGTGAGCCTAATCCCTGCTCTGTGTTCCCCACCCTTCCCCGACCCCTAGCCCCCAAGGACTGGGATCATCAATACCGGAAACCTGTGCTTTAGTTCTTCCATCTCTGCTGCTGCTATGCTGTGTGACTTCAGGTGAGTTCCTCCTCTCTCTGGTTCTCTGTTTTCTCACTTATGAATAGAAGGAGTTGAAACACTCATGCTGTAGGGGGTCTGTCTCAGCTCTGAAGGTCATTGATACTGAGTGTCCTGTTGTCCTCAGTGATACACGTGAGTGACCACCCAGACGGTGCCTGAGGAAGTTGTCCTTTCCTTGCAGCCCCCATCAATAGTCTGCCTCCTGGAGTCTGAATCGGGGAAGCTGAACTGGCGGTCTCTGAATCACAGTTCCTCATGAAGAGAGGTGCTTAACAGGAGACACTCGGGGAATGAGGCTTCAGGGACCCCCCACCCCGACCTCCACTGTTCCTGGTGCCCCTGAGGCCTTCAGAAGTTGTCCCTATGTATCCCTGTGACTTCTGAAGGCTACATTGCTATAGCAACCTGGGTCTGCTGATCTGTGTAAAAAACCTATCAATTAGTTGTCTGGAAAGTCCATTTAAGGGGTAACAAGCAATTACTCCTTATAGAGGAAGAGCAAACAGTCCCCATTTCAGAGCCTTTCAGGGTGAGTTTGAGAGCGGCAGGTCCAAGTCACTCATTTTAGGGATGGGGGATGAAATGAACTGGTTCATCCCAAGTCACAAAGACAATTAGAGGCAAGGCATCCTTTCTGGCTCTGATTCGGAAGCTCCATTATCTCTCTACCTTTGTTCCAGGCTCTTCCTTTCCCCTCCCGTCTATTCTCCGAGCACCTACTGCCTCCAAGATGGGCTCTAGATTGTAAGAGACTTGTCGTTCACTCTCCCAATAGCTCCCAGGCCTTTGAAAACAGCCAAGCAGACCCCCTCACCTGCTGCTCACATGGCATCCTGCAGTGGCCCATGAGGCCCCAGTGACCTGCTGCCTGGCTGCCTCCCTCCACGTCTCTTACCTCTGTCCTCTTGGCACCAGCTCACTATGAGGTCCTCCCTGTCCCTTAAAGACCAAGCTCTATCCTCTTCAAAAACAGCACATCCCTCTCTGACACAGCCACTCTCCCTTTATCCTGTAATCCTGTGTATTCCTTCACAGCTCCCCTCCCCATCTGCAACCACAATCTGATTATTATGACTTTGCTTGTTTCCCTCTCTGGAATAAAAATGGCAAAACTCTGTCTCTTATTCATGGCCATTTATCCACAACCTAGAACTGCTCCTGGCAATGAAGAGGCTCGCCACGCCTCTTGCTGAATGAGTGGATGGAGGCTGAAAGAGATTCCCACTAGGTCCTGAGAATGATGCACCCCAGAGTAACATCCTTCTGTTTCTTTCTGCTCCAGGCTGTCTCTGCTACCCTGACACCTGTAGGACTGGGCCCACTGGGAGCACCTTGGGGAGGAAGGAGGAGAGCACAGCCTCTGAGTCAGCCGTGAGGCAGAGCAAATCCAAGTGGTCATGCAGGAAGAAGAGTGTGCCAGTTCTGCGGGGTCCTAAGAGGGAGATGTATGGGGGGGGTGTGCTTTGTTCAATATGACAACACTACCGATGTACCGATGGTTTAGTTCTTACTGCATGAGCTTTACATGTGGTGTATCTTTCTAGCCTTGAAACTATCCTGCAAGGTAAAACAACTGTCCCCCATCATAAAAAATGAAGATGACAGTGCATGTTCTCCCTCGGCCTGGGACAGCTTCACCAGGCAAATTCCTGCTCATTCTCCAGGCCACCTCCCCGGAGAAGTCCTTCCTCAGCCCCAAGAACGCATTGAGTTCTCTGCTTTCTGTTCCCACGGGACCCTGCACTCACCCCTCCTAGCTCTTGCTGTAACCACAGACACACGATTTCAGCGTAAATATGGACAGGACAGGAGGCAGGGCTGGACACTGCTACATGCCCCAGCACAGTGCCTGTCCTAAGGTATCCAAGGAATAATTATCTAATGAGTGAGATGGAGCAGGGAACCCCCTAGGGGCCTGCAGCACCACCCCACCTAAGCATGGAAATAAAATCTTGAGTTTCTTCAAGGGAAATTCCAGGCACCTAGCTAGCCCTGAGAAGTAAATAAGCAAGCTGATAAGCAAGAAGGTAATAGTAACTTAAAGATAACATCTTCACATATGAGCCGGAGTTGTTTTTCAGAAACCTGGACCCACACCAAACAGATGTGCTGGCATGCAGACCTCAGATAAGAGGGAACTGCAGGCCGAACTCTGACCGCAGTTCTTTGTTCTAAACTTATTCCTGGGAGGCCTGGAAGAAATCATACCCACAAGCCAGAGCTAACATTCTTTTCTGCTGACCCTAAATTTTAAAGCTTCTCTTCCTTACCCAATTGCAAATCAGAAACTCTCTGAATCTACCTATGACTGTAAGCCCCCACCTACTTCAAGATAGCCTGCCCCATTGGGCTAAACCAATGTGTAACTTCCCTACAATGACTTTTAACTTTGCCTGAAACTTCTGCTTTCCTGAAACTTACCCCTGCCTCTAAAAACCCTTGTTTGCAAGTCATTGGAGAGGTGAGGTCTTAGGTGAAAACTGCTCAGTTCTCCTTGCATGGGACTCTAAAAATAAACGCCCTCCTTTCTCCTGCAGTAAACCTCGGTGTGGATGTTTGTCCCCTACTGTGCCAGGCAAGTGGACCCCAGTTTGGTTCCATAACATGAGGGAATGGCAAACTAAGACCTAGACAACTGCACTAATCGTGATTGGGAGAGCCAGGACTGGAATGCATGTCTGTCTGGAAATGAACTGAAAAGAGCATGTGAGCTTACACTAAAAGAGCACAAATTGATGCTGCAGGAGCCTCAATATCTGGTTGGAGTTGGCATCCCCTCCAACCTGGAGATACCTCAATTCCTTTGGGCTCTGGACTTACCAGAGCTTGCTCTATGAGGAGGCAGAAGAGGATGGCATTGCCCACTTCCCTCAGGCTCTGGAACACGTCTGTTTTGAGCTCTGCGTACTCAATGATGTCCTTCAGCTGGTGGTGGAAGAACTCCAGGATCCCTGGGAGAAGAAGCGGGATGGGTCAGTGGGAAGTTGACACTGCTCAGTAGGGTCTATGGGAAACAATGACTGAGTGGCAGCCCCAGACCTGACTCTCGGATAGCAAAAAGCCAAACCACGTATCCCTCTTCTCTGCAGGCCCAGAGTGAGATTTCTTTCAGGGCTCAGTACTGGAAAAAGTTCGAGAAGCGGGCTCGTGTCTTTTTCAGAACACACACACATGTGCACGTGCACACACACACAAATGAGGCAGCACTGGACCCTTTGCAGTCCCTCCAAAGTTGCCTGAATTCCTATCATGACAGGAATGAATATTTATTAGTAGGTGTCAGATATTGTGCTGAGCACTTTATCTGTAATACCTCATTTACTACAACAATATCACTAGGCACTATTACCCCTGTTTTCAGATAAGGCTCAGAGAGCGTAAGGGGCACGCCCATAGTCACATAGGTAGTAAGTAGGGCAGCTGGGACTGAACTCCAGAAATTTTAGCCTTATCTTTTTCCTATTCTGAATCATGCAGACCCAGCACTAGACATCTTGGTTTTGAAAAGAAACATCAGATGCCAAGTCACAGTCCCCATCTTTCCCTCTTCTCCAGGCCCTGTATTCAGTTCACTATCAAGGAAGGAAATAATTATTTCTCTGCCCAGTGGTCAAACAGCAGAGATGTCCATTTCCTCACTTATCTTAGATATGTCAACTTGGCACCACTGCCTGGAGCCTCGGTCTCCCCAAATATGCAGATGGAGGAAGATCTGGAGGTGCTGAGCTCATAAGTACCTTTTCTAATAACCTGGCTCTGCATTATTTAAACATGCTGACATCTGCTGTCGTCTTCCAACTTCCTAGCAGTCCCATGAGGCAGGCCCCGCAAGCATCATCTCCCTCCACTGACAAGATGATACCATTGCTCAGAGGGATTAAAAGGCTATCTAGCTAGTGGCCGGGGAGGATGGATAGCCAGTACTCTGCCAGCTCACTGGCATGTTAGAGAAGCAAACGCTCTGAGGTGGATGGTCAGAGCCTCCCTTCCCACCTTGTTTTGCTATCACCAACCTGGGGAGCCATACTCATGTCGGGGCAATCGGCATATCTTGGGCATCACCTCTATCAGTGTTTTCACATACTGCAGAATGGTTCCTTGGAGCTGACAAAAGAAGAGTACAGATGAGTGAGATAATCTGCTGCAGCAAGTGTGCATCTCTGGGCTGAATTCTGGGCTACGGAGGGTTCTGTTGAGACCTCTGAGAGGAAGGGGCAGGCTTGCCTAAAGGTGGAGAACAGTCCCTTTGACCTTTATAAGACTGAAAAAGGAGCTCTCTCATTATTCTTTCGGGCTTACAGACTTCAAGGAGGGCACATTTCTAGGTGTAGGGTCTTTCCTGGGGCTGAGGATGCTTGTATCAGATTCAGACTCAGAGCTAAAATGAAATGGAGCCAGGAAATTGTGGAGATTGAAACAAGCTATTTAATTTCAGCCTGGAAAATTCATGGCACGTTCATCCCTCCTGTGCCCAAGGCAGACATCTTTAATCAATTACCACATTTTCTGGTTTTACTCTGGATTTAGCTCCACAATCTTTAACAACCCATGGTTCCACAAAGCTGCTGCCACAGAATTGGAGTTAGCAGATTAATCCTATTTGCTATCCCTGATCTGGTTATAAATTACTTTTGTCACTTGAAATTTTCATAAACATCTTAAATGTTTTGGCCTTCAGCAGTGTTGCAGGAAATTAAATGAAATTCAGATGACCATATTTGGGGCAGATGCAGAATAGTGGTAAAGGGATATAGCGGTAAAGGGATACAGAACTCTCTTAAAGCCAGTGCAGTATGAGAAGCAGTGTTTAGCAAGAAATCCCAAGGGAAAGAAGCATGGTGATTGACTAGAGATGTCTGCCATGGGTAAGGGCGTGGAAAATGGCAGCTACAAGTGTCATGAATTCGCCCTGCTCAAATTAGATAATGGAGTACAGCTGGGGAGCATGAGGAGTCAGTGGTAAGCGCTGAAGGACAAAATCAGGATTTCTGACTTCAGTCATCAAATACAAGGAGTTTGGGGTCAGAAAATGAGGAGCACAGCTATAGGTCAAAATGTGCACAGAAATGTAACAGAATGATAGGTAAGACCAATCCAGGGATACGGGCAAGGGACTCCCTGAGCAGTTTCTACAGGCAGAGCTGCAGTGCCTGGGATTTGTTTTTACAGGCCAGGTAAAAAGTAAAAGCAAACCTTGTTTATGTCAAACCCACATGGGCACATCTCAAGCCACACTGAGGCCTTTCCTTACCAAGCTCTTCACAATCTTTAGCAGTTCCTCCATGACCACAGCGATGCCCTGGTAACCCAGGAGTCTGCAGATAGTCTTGAAATGAGGTGGCCCCACAAAATTCCTGTAGGAGCTGTAGATGTGGCTGTAGGCAATGTTGAGAGGCTGGAAAACAGAGTGGCAAAGTAAGTGCCTGAGTACTGAATGGATGCTGGTGGAGTCCTGGCAGATGTTCCGCTGACAGAAGAATTAGGAACTCAGTGTTATGAGTGTGCTCACTGGGGCTCTATGAATACGTTTGCAAAATGATGGTCAGAGAGAGAGGTATGGTCAGTGACTACAGGATGGCGCACAGTCACCAGATGGAGCAGCCACTCCCTAGCAGAAGAGGATAAAGGACTTCCAAGCAAATATCCCTTTTATAGGGATTCCTGCCACCCATGATGTTCCACACCCAAACCAGGAGTTTCACAAATGGAGCCATGGGGGAAAAAATAAACAGCCAATTTCCTTTCTTAAGAGGCATTACTAGTACTAGACATTGGCTGGAAGAACCATGTGAAAACTCAACAGCTGCTTCAATATTGTCATCTTTCCTCTACTGTTAGTTGTTTCCATCTATGACAGGCGGGGTCCTGGGAACACACAGGCCTGGGAGTCAGGAGACCTCTGCTGAGTGCATGGGACAACTGCCCAGGGTTTTTGAGCCTTAGTTTCCACATCTATGAAATGAGGGGTTGGATTAAGTCAGTGGTTTCCTAACTTTAAGAGCAGCAATCCAAAGGAAAGATGCCACGGAAGCTCATATGTGAAGCAGGCAAAATGGAGCTGCTCTGGCTTGGTGCTGGCTGGGGACCCAGAGCCCTGGCCACCACCATTGTCCTCTGGACCTCA